GATGGCCTCAATTCATGTGTATTGTGGACAATCTCATGGTGATCACCCAAAATGCCTCTCTGCTGGGCCAGCAGGCTACTGACTGCCCTCCCCCAAGATGTCCTGGCTAGGAACTCTGCCCTGGATGCCAAAGGAATGGGTTGGGGAAGTGCAATGTCAGAGCAACATGTGATAGCTTTCTAACCCTGGAGCTTTTTGTACAGGGTGGGATGCACTAAACAATTAATATGCACTAAACAATTAATAACTAAGTTGATTTCTCAATTTTAATGCATTTGTATTTATTTTGATACAAATTATTTAAGTAGTTTATAATTGACTACAATACGGGCTTCAGACCATCTCCATAAATAGCCTACACATATGAAGCTTAATGTGTAAAGCAGTACATAAAACACAAGTCGTTTTGTTTTTTAAAATTATTATATTTAGTAGCCCCTGAAAATTCCTTATCATGACACTGCAATAGCAATGACAGGCATTATTAGAACTAACCGTTTTGGCTGGAGCTGCAAGATTTTCCATTTCTTCGTGGGTTACCCAGACGTTGCCTGAGGGCTATTGTCCATGCCCACAGGGAGTCAGGCAAAATCCATATTAGGTAAGCAGTGTTAAAGAAGAAAGGCAGCAACACTGTAAGTTAACAGCATACATCATCAAAATGAGCACAACCACATCCTTGCCTCAGATGAGGTGCAGCTAGAAAACAATGTTAAATAGCTGCTTTTTCCCTGCATTTTGAAAAAAAAAAATCAGTTGAATTATTCTGATACAGAAGTGAGCCTCTGCATTCAATTAGATAAGTGTGAACAAATAATCCCTACACACATTTATTATTGTCTTCATAAGCATTATTACTTTAAAGCAGCTTGCTTCATTTGGTTTCCTCCAGATACACTGAAATTGTAATGTCTATCATTCCTATTCAGCATAGCCAACACACTGGAATGTTAGATTTTGCAGTCTCAACAGATCTGGAATTTATCAGATTGGGGAATGCTATGTTAGAGCATTTTTAACATGGAAATAATATTTCATTGAATCTATGAACCTTAGGACTGGTTCCAATAAGATGCATTTGCTACACTAGTACTGAAATCTGAACTGTACACACTGGGAATCATGTTATGATTATCTCAGTATTTCAACATCAAATAATTACAAGGATATCATACATATTTAAAAGTACAGAAGTTGCCCTAGAAATGTATACTCCTGTATATGGAAAAATTATCTGTGAGGTTGATCCCACAGATACTGTATTTTCAACTGTTGTTACACATGACCTAAAAAGTAGTACAATGGGAGAAATGGGGATTTAAGAAAATAACACTTTAATCCAAATTGGGCATCACATTTGAATATTTTATTATAACTAGTTTAAGTTTTCCAAACTGATTAAACCAGGGGTCCTCAATCTTTTTAAATGGGTCCAGTTCACGGTCCCTCAGAATGTTGGGGGGCTGAAAAAAACATGAGGAGAGGAGGAGAGCCGCTGGACCTGGCATACCTGTCATGTAGAATAGTTTGGCTCTGCGATCTCTCTCCTCGTGCATTGCCTGCAGCTCCCGACACAGCCCTGACACTTCCGCTTCTGACAGACAGCAGTGGCAGCCAATCAGGTGGGTGGGCTGGATAAATGCCCCCGGCGGGCTGTATCCGGCCGGCAGGCCGTACTTTGAGAACCCCTGGATTAAAC